TTTTTTTTTTTTTTTTTTTTTAGATTATTTGAGATAATTTGAAGAAAAACGTACACACATACACATACACACACGCACACATACACACACGTATAATGTGATGATATATTAGATTATTTTATTAGATTAAAATAATGAAATAAATCAAACTTACTGTTCTTCGTGAAGGTAACGATTTTCAGGACCTTTCCAAAACGTGTAAATATCTGAAACAGAAAATAAGAAAATAATTAATTATATTATTATTTATCTTTTGTATTAGATTTCAAGAAGAACAACATGAGACAATTAAATTAACTCTGGATTTTCTTCTCATTCTTTTTTCTTTTTTCATGTCCTCTTTCTCTTTTTCTGTGTATATATATATATGTATGTAAAATCGTAACGAGATTAAAAATATTTATGCACGTGTACACGACGATCCGTTGAACGACGAACCTTGTAGAATAATATTTTGTTTCGTTCAATTTTATAATACATACTCTTGAGAAAAAGATATAAAAATTAGGGATAAGTTTGAGAAATTTTTGATTTTTATTGCACTATCCTCGTCGTCATTATTTAGACAAAGTAATAAAATTCTAACAAAATTATAACAATTCTATAAATTATTTAATAAATAAATAATTATTAAAACAAAGAAAAATTTCAAGTAAAATTCTTTCAATCACATAGATTATTATTTAATAAAAATCTACTAAACACAATAATAATAATAATAATAATAATAATAATAATAATAATAATAATAATAATAATAATAATAATAATAATACTAATAACAATAATTACTATTTATATAATAAAAATATAGTTATAATTTCAATAATAAAATATAAACTTATTTTTTAATAAAAATCTACTAACCACACTAATAATAGTAATACTACTACTACTAATAATAATAATTACTATTTATATAATAAAAACAATAGTTATAATTTTAATACGAAAATATGAACTGTAACACCCTTACCCCTTTTTAGAAAAACTATAATTATAATTATAGTTATTATCAACAAGCTATGATTTATTTTTTAAAGAGTAGCATATAAAAATTAAAATAGATAAATACCTAGGAAAATATACGCGTTTATACATACATATTATAAAAAAATATATATGTAGTAGTATAATATATATATAAATTATAATTGTAATTATAGTTGTTACCAACAAGCTATGATTTATTTGTTAACGAGTAACATATAAAAATAAAAATAGATAGATAGAAAAATCGTCTATATATATATATATATATATATTATATATAAATGTGTGTGTTAATATATTAGAGAGAAAAAGATAGAGATATCTAGTATATGGTAGTATGGTTGAATGCACACGATGATGTTGCATACGTGTCGATGGGGGGTTCACCGATCGAATTAATGTCACGAATGCAAATATTTGAGGCCATTCGCTGTTTCCACGTTCATGTGACCAAGGCTAGTCGATCGTTATAAATCATCGGAGTTATGGGATTTTCGATTATTCACTTCTCACCGTCTGTCCTCCGGCATAGGGAACGATGCAACACACAACTAATATATATGTATATGTGAATATGTGAATGTGATGGTATATGTGCGAGCGTCATGCAAATTAATTAGCAGAAAATAACAGAAACGACTGGGTTTCGAATATGTGGAAGAACTGGAGGTGCAGAAGAGAAGTGAAGGGATGAAAAGGGAAGGATAGGGAAGGGTTGGAAAAAAAAATAGAGATACTCGATGAATATAATTCCTCGACGTTCGTTTGTCAACGAAAAATTCAAACAAAAACTATGGAGGAACAATTTTGTTTTCGTCATATATATACACACACACACACACACGCAAAGCAAGTAAATACATTTTTACATATATGTGCACATGAACACAGACACATTAATATGAAAGAAATAATACATGCATAATATTTCATTTCATTTCAATAATATATAATATTCGTTATATTGTTATTCGTTTGAAAAATTCAACTAAAATAAAAATTGAATTGTTATTGAAATATTATTTTTTAGGATTTATAAAGTTAAAAGATTATCGTCAAATAAACAAAAGAAAAAATGTTAATTGCTTAATATTATCATTAAAATAAATTAATGATTAAATATTTGAAAACAATTCCATAAATTTCTATTTCTTCTTTACTTTGATCTAACTGCAACGAGATAACAATAAACAATGAGAAGTTTCTATAATATTTGCTTCTATTTAAACACTAAACCTTGCATTATTGTTATTATTATTATTATTATTATACTCAGCTACATAAAATAAAAAATCCCTACACATATAGATAAAAGAAAATAAGCTATTAAACAAAGATCAATCGAACGTTTCCTGTAACTCTCAAATTCGACCAATTTAAATAACCACGATAATAACAATAATAATAATAATTATAATAACAATAATAATTTGTACAATGGGCAGGTGTGTGTAGATATATTTGGGAAACGAGACATCCGGAAAGTGTTTTAATTGTACCGAAGAACTCGCATTAACGGAGATTTGCTAAATTACGTGAACCAAATGAACGTTATAGTAGAGTTGGATATTTATGTGTATGTTACGTATGTATATGTTTGTGTGTGTGTGTGTGTGTGTGTGTGTGTGTGTGTGTGTGAGGGTATATAGAAACGAGTGTATCTTTCTCTGTATTTTATTTTACTTGTTTTTATTTCATTTGCTTGCTACTGCTAAAGAGGGTTGTTGCATTGAAAAAAACTATGCCAATAACGATAAAAATCGCAAACAATTTTTTTTTATCTTTCTATTTGACTATCTTTGTTCTATTATTTTGTCTATTTTCTCTTTTCCTATGAAAATAAATTCTCTCATTATCGTATCGTTTAAGTTAGTAGCTAGTAATAATAATAATAATAATAATGGTAATAGTAATTTAGGATGAGATACTTATCCGACAAATATCATTTTCACGGTAATTGTATTTTACAATCGTACGTTTAGTTATTCGAAAAATAAACAAAATTATTACTACGGTGATTTTGTTTGTTTGTTTATTTGTTTGTTTTACCCTTTTTTTCGTCTATTGTTATTTTTCTTTTTTTTTTTTTTGTATGTGTGATTGTTATATTTTTTTCTGCAAACGATTAAATGATATGAAAAAAAAAAACATAGACGTTATAACAATAAGCGTTAACGTTAAGTGGGGAAAGAGGCTTTTTGTTTTTTTTATTATTATACCAAAACGATTTTCATGAATTTTATGAGATACCATAACAATAGGATTACAGGATTTATTCATTGGTTACAATGTTTTTTTTTTTTATTTTTTTTTTATTATAATAATAGTAGAAATTCAATTTTGTTAAAAAGTACGTGGAATACGTTGAATGATTCTATTTTTTTTTTTTATACTTGCGTGTATTTTGTTTAATATTAATTCTAAAATTAAAAAGAAATATCATGTGGGCAGATCACACGTGTTAGGAAGTGAAACCTTCGAAAAACTAAGTTTCGAGAGAAAGAGACGACTGCAGAATATCAGGAGTAGGATAATTGTTGGGTTTATTTGTTATAATATTATTATTATATTATTGTTATCACATTCCGTCTCATTCCCTCGCAGTCTAAATCCTATGTTTGTCTCTTTTTCTCTCATTATTTAGTATGGCAACCGTTTCATAGATTCGTTACATAGCTCCGTTTCCGTTTATTTACTTTTCAGATCACTCATATTCTAAAGAAGTTTTCACTTCAAATAAAAAATATTTGCTTCATATTTATTTATCACCCTTTAAACGAATATGAACGTATGTATGATTTTTAGGGTTTCAAAAAAAAATCCCTCAAAAATATGGAAATTCAAAGAGTAGGACAGAGAGAAAACGAATAAATGAGAGAGTAAGCAAATAAATAAATAAATACATAAACAAATAAATAAATAAATGAATAATTGAATGAATGAATGAACGAATGAATGAATGAATGAGTGAGTGAGTATGAGATAGAAAGGAACATATTCGATATTGATATTGGAATTTTTGATGGTTGTGTTTCCTGTTTCATCCCAGATTCGGTTGAAAATCGCTGGCAAACATACACACACACACACACACACACACACATCCACACATAGTAAAGGTTTTGAAACCTTTTCCCGTTTCCCTTCGTAACACACTATATCAATGTTTACAATATATATCTATACGATAGCTAAATAAACCGATGAATAGACCAGACCAGATCAGACTATACCAGAAACTAAACCAGATCTACCCCTACCCCCAAATATCGGGGAGTGAGAATAAAATGAACGAATTCATACAAGATATATATATATATATGTTTGTATCGATCTATATTGATCTATCAGATCAATAGATTGAAATTGTCTGTAACAAAACTCGTATAACGCGTGTTATATATATGTGTTTGTATGAGTATGTGTTTGTGTGATGGGGAAGCTCCATTTCGGAAAATGGAATTAGGGTTTGTAATCGTCAAGGAAATTGAACTTTTGAGCTTTGATTAATGAGAAGATTTTCTATATATCTCTTTATGTGTAAATATGTTTGTATGAGTGTACGTGTGTATGAGAGAGAGAGAGAGAAAGAGAGAGAGAGAAAGAGAGAGAGAGAAAGAGAGAGAGAACTATCATGAAAATGGCAGACAATAATATTAATTAAATCCGTATTTAATTAATTACTCAATACTAACGGGGATATTTTTCGGCTTCGCAACGACGCAAATTATCTCGATAAATTCCCCAACAAATCTCCGCCATTACCGCCGCGTGCCACAATACACCACCAAATTACCCCCTATCGTTTTATTAAATATATTTCACCAATAGGAAAATGTAATTGTGTATGAGAAATCGTTCCTTGTTTTGTATAAGCATATATACATATATATATATATATATAT